GGGCCAATAAGAACCCATTCCATCTTGCTTTCTTCTAAGTTTCTCTACAAAGAAGATTTTCAGACAAGTAATTCTGGGGTTTTTTTACCCTCATCATTACTTACTTGTCACAAGACTTTTAGTTCTGTTTCTACTCTTGCATGCCCTCAGATACACATGCTCCATTCATGATTGCCAATCTATGGCAGTCTAAGATTTTCCCACTCTACAACCTATATCAGGAATTGTAGTTCCTCTGTTTTACTGCTGATTCCTTGCATTAGTAAACAAACATCTTCACCATATCTATCTGACATTATTTCATTTCCCGGCTGGTCTCCAATATCACCTATCTTTCCACTACTTAAGTTAATATTTCTATTTTCTTGTTACTACCAACCTGTCTACTAACTGATTTTATTTTCATTTATCTGTCTTTTCATTTTCTTAAGGAATGACATAAAAAGGTATTCTACCATGGCTGAACAAGTAAGACAGCTCTGCCCTAGAGCTGTCTGTTCAATAGCGGGAAGCAGGGATCCGTAACCCAGGAAGAACCTTACTGGACCATGTTCCCGTGTCTTACAAAATAATGCAACAGCAACACACTCATTTATTGGCTTCATAGCACTCTAATTCAAGTGGTGGGGGAATGGGAAAATGGTAAAACAGGAGAGAGAGAAAGAAGCTTATATAAGCAAGGCTTTAAGAATGAGGTCTTGTAATACTTTACCAACACATTACAGAAAAGAGAAAAATAGTAAGAAAAAAATTATTTATTCAGCTTTTGAATTCATTTCTCTGGTCAGCTTCTGCCTTCTTTACATACATAGGCAGTCTAAAACCAGAAATCAGCACATGCACTGAAGCTTCAAGTAGAACAGCTAGTTAGAGTTGGGAGGAACAACAGCAATAAGCAGAGCTGAAGCATGCGTAGTCCACACAATGCACTAGAGTGCAGAAGACCCCATGTTAGCACCAACTGCTTCTGTCAGGCACCCAGGAAATCATTCAGTCCTATTGACAGCACCTGTTTGCTCTGGCAAGGCTTTAGGGAACACTGACCCAAGTCAAATAAGCTAATAGAAGACAATACATGAAAAAGCAAAGAGCTCATATAGGTCTGGGCTCCCAGGTCTGTGAAAGAGCCCATGCCAGACAGCCAAACCATGAGGAAGATCCAGGGCTTCTGCTCCTCAGAAGGCTTCCCTAGCGCTGGGATCCCAGGCTGAAGACCAATACAGAAGATACAACCCAAATCTTGTTCTGACCAGTTGTTAAGCTTAGCTAGCCAGCTTTCAGGTGCCTTACAGCTACTGGAACCCTGCTGAGGCTGTCTTTTGTGGCCGTCCTGTCAATTGCAAGCCTTTGCCCATGCTGAGCCTCCCTGCTCCTCTAGAGCTCCTCTACCCTCTCACAGTCTGGTTTGCAAAATCCCTCCCAGTCACCTGCAGAATGTATTGTCTCCCAGTCCACTGCTGCCTCCTCCTCTTACATCCACAGTCTCTTCCTGGCCACCTCTCCTGTGAAAACCTATCTGTGCCTCCCTGTGCCATGCACCAAGTATTTCCTCCCTCCCGCCCTCGTGGGTAACACTGCCGGAGCAGGTCAGCTCCTCTGGCCTCTGACAGGCCTTCACAGCCTGCAAAAAGGAGGCTACATGAAACCCTCATGTGCAAAGGAGCTTTGCGTGGACACCTTCCCCTGGGGTCCCCCTCCCCCTCCCACACAATGCTGGAGCCTCACCTGAGCGCTGGGGCAGCCTGGGCCCTGGTCTGCCAGGGCCTCCCCACTCATCCTCAGACTGCCTCCCTGCCACCGTCCCGAGTCCAGCTGAGGGCAGATCGTATCCTCCCACCGCAGGCATACAGCGTGGCTGCATGCTGGTGAAGAGCAGGCTGGGTCAGATAGGCTCTCGTGGCTAAGGGCCATCGCCCCATAGCAGGAAGACAGGGACTGTTCAAGGCTGCAGCCCCGTTGAGAGCAGCCAGAGCTGCTGGAAGAGAGAGCAGGCAAAGCCAGGGCCAGGGCTGTATCCAGGCTACTGAGGCACTTGGGAAAGCTGATGGACTCACTGCTTGCAGGTGTGATTTGACCCAACCCACCCACAATGCCACAACTTGCTCTGCTGGATGGGGCCCTGCTGTCAGCCCTTTAGGAAGCTGAGAATTTATGCATTTCACCTTTATTTGCCCATAAGCTGAGAAGTTCCTTCTTTTCCCAAGGACAGCACTAGGCATGCAGTTGCCTTATCACCTAGGTCCTCATGTCTAGGGTAGGTCACCCTCCTCCTAAATAGGGCCAGTAGTCTATATGGTGCAGAGAAGAGCAGAAGCACACTGTAAGTCTGCTCAAGGGTATACAGCTAGCAGTGCTCCCCAGCTAAGGCAGGGAGGATGGCTATGGGTCAACCATAAAGGCACTGAGGGAGTCCTACGAGACCACTACAGACCTTGTCTGAGCATCCACGGAAGAGCAGCTCCAGACCTGTGCCTTGGCTTCTTCCTCAGTCTCAGTGCTGAAGAGGCTTTCTTTGACACAAAGCACCTCCAAACACCATCTTAGGCTAGTTTGCATAGCTGGCAGGGTGCTCTAGGCTGCACCCACACTGTGACACAAAGCATTTGTAAGTATAATGCCTGAAAAATGATACTAGTATGTTTGTGGTTTAATGCTGGTTTGCTATGGCAGCAGGAAAAACCTAGGTGTGGTCAAAACGCAGTGTTATGTTTACAAAAGATTGTAATAGAGGATGTAGCCTTGAGAAATCTAAGTGTCTTGAGACTTATGAGATAGATATATTTATATGACCACGTTTCTGGCTGTCTCAATGTCCCTGGCCAAATGCTGCTAGGCTAAGAAAAAGAATGGTGTTAATCTTTGCAGAATATTTGCATGTTAACAGACATCTCTGAGGTGACTCTGAAAGGAGAGGAGTCCATGAAGGGAAGAGTGGTCTGAAAGGAGCAGCTTCATCTAAAAACAGGAACTGTTCATTAGTAATGGGAATTAAAGCCACAGAATTTGGCTTTAATGTGTCTTCTCCAAGACACATGGAGAAGAGTTCAATCAGACAGATGAAACTTGACAGCTGTAGTAGATGCAAGACCGCAATGCAGCAATGTCATGCTGTAAAGGTCTCCTGGCCCAACAGACCCCTCACATACCACTCTAATTACTGTAATTTATCAATGTTTTGTCTTAAGCAGCTCAGGTTATTTGGCTCTACCATTCATCCCTAGCCCCAGCTTCTCTCTCTTTTTGTTCTGGGATTGCTTTCTTTGAAGGTAAAGGAGGTAGCAAAGTCACTCAGCTGATGCGTCAGTGACCTTTTCATACACTGCTGTCTTTCTTATATAGGTACCTCCCCTTTAATGGAGTACATTTTTTTGTCCTGGGTAAGGGAAGGGGAGGCAATGAGATGTCCACTGAACCTGGCAGGAGGTCTGGCAGTGTGCAATCTAGAGCTAGCTGACTTTTCCTGTCACTGAGGAGGCAGGGTTGACCTGTGGATCCCAATTTTGCAGGAGGACAGGTGAACAGAGCTACAGGTGACAACATGAGGCACTCCACAAGTAGCCCCTCTGTCAGTTCCAGACACGGCTTCCTGAGCAGGTCACCAGAACAGGTGGTCCGGTGGTCACTACTGCCTCTTTGCCCGCACAGGAACTCGTTTCCATTGAATGAACAGACAACAGGCCACCAGTTCCTTATTACTTCATGGAGCTGACGTATTCAGCAATCATGCTTGTGATAGGACAAGGGGTAATGGTTTTAAAATAGAGGGAGGTAGATTCAGGTTGGATATTAGGAAAAAGTTTTTTACCATGAGAGTTGTAGAACACTGGAACAGGTTGCCCAGAGGGGTGGTGGATGCTCCATCCCTGGAGACGTTCAAGGCCAGGTTGGATGAGGCCCTGAGCAACCTGATCTAGTTGGAGATATCCCTGTTCCTTGCAGGGGGGTTGGACTAGATGACCTTTGAAGGTCCCTTCCAGCCCTAACCATTCTATGATTCTATGATTCTATGATTCTATGATTCTGTGAATCAGTGACCGCAGCACTGCTGGCATGGCACGAACACCCTGTACGGTACAAAGTGTTTCACAGGCTAACACTCCCTCCATCACCACCGCAGCAGGAAACACCCGCTGGCCCCCCCCTCGCGA